AAAATGGACCAGATCCTGTCCCTCAAGAAAACAAAATTGCACTTCAAAATCATAAACCTTTAGAATACTTCAGAGGGGGTGGGTATGAAATAAGGCCTCTCCAATAGTCAATAGCCATTACACTCCTGCCATTTAATACTTGTTACCCAGAGATGAAGAATGTGAAGCTACAGAATGCTTTAACCTGTCCTTTACAAACTTGCTTTCTCTCCCATTAATCAACACTCAAAATTTTAGAGAAAAGCCTCACTTGAATGCCTAAGGTTTAACTACTTTCCTTTTCATTACTTAGCCTCTCCGTTGATAGACTTTTGTCAGTGAGAAAACTGAGGCTCTGCATGGAAAAAATTAAACCGAACAGGAATGAATAATATATTAAAAGAAAATCCAAAAGGAACAATGTGAAGTCCAATAGAATTGTTACATCCAATGGTTTACATGTCATTTTAGTAAAAAACAATAAATTGTGTACAAGTGACAGGATAAAAAATAGGGGTTTGTAAGTAGGAGAGAGTGTGATTGAGTGACCAAAAAGATGCCAATGTAAGTCTGGTCCACAAAACTCCCACTCCACACATAGGACAGCCAAGGCTCCATCTCCATCCCACCCAAAGGGTAGAACAACAGAACTGTAGAAGAGGGAATCAATCAAATTAGCTACAACTCGATAACATGAAGCTTCCTTCATCTGCGTAGCAAGAATGACAAGAGAAGAAACTGAGAAATTGCATGTTCAGTGGCTCATCGTAATAACCAGGACAGAAATTAAACCAACCAGAGCTGTTCTCAAGTGCACCATGAGAAGAAAACGAAGCAATCTCAAACAAAGTGACTTACCTTAACCTTAGTTAGAGGACCATTAAAATGGAGAACCCTGCAGGCTATCACCATTCATGGAGCTCAGAGCTCTAGTATGCCTATGTCTGTTATTCTTTTTCAGTATTCTCTGGGTGCATTAATATATATATATTTAAAGCCAGATGAAGGTCACTCACTCCTTTAATCCCAGTACTTGGCAGGCAGAGGCAGGCAGAGCTCTGTGAGTTGGAGACCAGCCTGTTCTACAGAGTGAGTCCCAGAACAGCAGGAATACATAGAGAAGCCCTGTCTCAAAAAACAAACAAACAACAACAACAACAAAAGCTTATTTTCTCTCTGCTATTATACCAAGGGCTTTTAGGGATGGAAATTGTGGGAGGCCATTATATTAGGCAAACCAGTGGAAAACAAAGGTTGTTATAACATTTATTATTCAGATTCCTCTCAGGAGCTGATTAAACAATCTAAAGTCATACCTGGTAACACATCTTCATGAGATTTATGTCCATATTTAAGGCAAATTCAGGAAGAACAGAGGGCTTTTCTGTGTCTGTTGCTTCTTAATTGCTCTCAGCTCAAAATAACCTTATGTCAATGTGTTCTTGATGCCCTTTGATACATTCTAACATTATGAAATACATATATATATATATATATATATATATGTGTGTGTATATATATATACATATACACACACACACATATGTATGTATGTATGTATTTAAATACGAGTTTCACCCTGTGTAAGAACACTAATCTTGGGGAGATGTCAACCGTTTTCATTAGACTGTGAAAATGGAATGCCCTTTGTCCTTCCAGCATTAAGTGGAGCATTTTAGCAAAGATAAACTTAGTATGGGCACTTAGTTTTTCTCAATTAAGTTGACACAGCTGGTGTGGGAATGCATCTCCTCATCTCTCTGCTTACCAGAAGCGTTTGGGAAGCAGAAATAACACTTCAGCAGGGATTTCTCTTGGTAATGAAAATTGCAGAACAGTTTCAATAGCAGTCAACATTAAGATCCATTAAGTCATCTTTCTTATTGTGCTTAACGCCATCAGATTCAGTGAGTGAATGAATGGCCACAGCTGGAAGCACGAGACATTGAAATTCAAGAACCAGTGCCATTACATCAGTGACAATGAGCCTAAGGAGCAATGAGTGGGGGAAAGACAGAAAGTCATCACTGAATTGTGATGGTAGCTCAGCAGTCAGACTAAAAATGACAAGATTTTACAATGATTCATTAAGCATGGATGCATATAGAGGAGGACAAACACATGCAATTCTGCATGCTTAGCAATGAGCATGTAAGAAGAAATTTATAATTTGATTTGTGTCTTTTCTTAAATCAAGATAATTCTAAAGCAAGGGAGCTTCTCATTTTATCAGACAAATAGATAAAAACCAGTCAAAGAGGGGAAAAAATGTTCAAACTCCAGTGCTCTTATTTTTCTCTCCTCATTATTTTTATAGACGGTAACCATGGTGATATTCAGAAGCACAGCTCTGTTCCTTCCACAGCTTCTAAGCTTGCATATCTACAGAACACCACCTCCCCCACAGCAGCCACACTCAGAGTTCTTTGAAATGTAGTTTTGCCTCCCTTTATGTCATTTTCTTGCAAGTCTAATTAATGCATTTTGATGTTGCTGATCAAGGGAGACCATCAAGATAACATCTTTCCCTTCCCAGCACTGTAGGCCCAGATGCTTCTATAGTCATGGATAGAAATTTACCCTGATAAGAATTCCAATCAAGCTGAGACATTTCAGCTACACATGTTAGCAGTCACTAAAACAGGCCAAACTGATGGGCATGGTGTCTTTGACCCATCTTTCTGATTCTGTCAAGGTGTAAAATTACCCTTTAGAGTCATGTCAGGACCACCATCTACCACAAAGACAAATGACCTAGGGTCATTACAGCTGAGTAGCTCTTATTAAACCTCATAGGTTCAGCTCATCTCTTAGCCATGGTAGTTAACAGGCTGAATGGATGATGCCTCAACACTGGCTTGAACTCCCTAAATTGCTATGGTACTTTCAACTAATCATGCCATCTCTTTATGGTAAACCTTTCAGAATATTTGCTGCCTCAGATCTAGGGTTGTATTTTATTTTTTTATTCCTATATGGTATTCTTTGACATTCATGCTCATATACAAATGAATAAATCTGAGAGGACTTCATATTTTTATAAAAAAAAAAATCTGATCTTAACTTTGCTCCATTTCCATCTCAATTATTATCAAATTCTTTTTGCTTTTTGTCAAACTTAAAAAGATTAATTTGTTTTATGCATGTAAGTGTTTTTTTTTCTGTGTTCATATATATGCAACATGTGTGTGCTTAGTGTGTATGGAAGTCAGAAGAAGACATTGGATCCCCTGGAACTGGAGACACTGATAGTTCTGAGCCATCATGTGGGTGCTGGGAACTGAACCCAGGTCTTCTGCAAAAGAAACAAGTGCTCTTAACCACGGAGCCATCTCTCCAGCCCTTCTCTTTATCCTTTACTTACTCCTTTTGTGTTTCAGTTTTTCATATACATATATGCATGTTCATGAGGGGAGAGTATGTGTTTATATGAGTTAGGAGACCAGAGTATAGACTGGTGTGTTGTTCCCCAGTCATTGTCTCCCTTGCTTGAAAGAGGTTCTCTCACTGGATTGGAGCTCACCAAGTAGATTACGTCTCTTTATATGTGGGTTTTTTTATTTTGTCATAAAAAAATAAACATTAGCTGAATATTTGATACTAGAGAATATACAGTATCTTTAATGGTTTTTAGAGTTGATAAATAGCTTTATTTTACATCTAGCCCTTCTGAGACCATTCTGTTATATATGTACAAAATGGCAGAAGTAAATCTAGGCCCATTTTAAAGGCTAGTAGAAATTTTGTCCTAATCCCAAACCAAAATTCAATTAATGTCTTTCTCTGAAAATACTCATGTCAGCAAATGAAACAGCAATATTTAGAATCAAACATTCTAAAGGAATCAAAATATATACTATTTTTTACATGTTGACAAAGAATTCAGGGAAATATTAAAAATCTTTGCTTTATAAAATGAATCCATTTTGCTTTTGTGAGACTGAAACATTTTGAATATATAATAAGAACTCTGAAACTCACAACATGCAATACTCTCAAGTGAGAGCCATAGTATTTCCGCAATAGTCACCAGGTCCAAGTTGGTATGAGGACATGCACAGAACGTGGGCATGTTATGTGTTGAAAATCAAGACTGTAACAAAGTGACATGATGCAATACATGTGACGGCTGACAGAAACACCTTGGATTCACTGTATACTTGATTCTGAGTTGTGTTTTAATCAGTGTGAGTGTGGACACCTTATACTGCTGGCTGATACTTTATGAGCCCCACAAGCAATGCCTAGTTTAGGAATCTGCTGGTTATAGAGGATGCTCAACAAGAAATAACCACACCTTTAATGAAAAAAGATGGCATGAATTTGAAAGTGGGAAATGGGCATGGGGAAGGATGAAGAATGGGAAAATGATGTAATTACATTATAATCTCAAATAAAAATAAGATAAATATTCTTTAAACAAGAGAAATAGAATCAGGGATACATAATATTAAGCATGAATAACTCACAAAGTACAGTTTAAAAAAGTCTACTTAATTTTCCTGTGCTTTCAGAGTACTTTGTGGAGTTGTTTTTATCCAGCAATATGCTGGTAAACTGACTTTCTCAAGGAGAACACGTCCTGATTTATAATATTTACCAATATACGCCATGTGGCCAATTTTGAGCCAGAAATGTTTTACCTGCAGGCTCCCGTTGTTCCCGAATATTTAACCACTGCTAGCAGCAGTGGGAGCCTGCTCCAGCATGCCAACAGCTTCTCCTTTGCTTTGAATAAAACCGTGGTTTTATTATATGCTTTTTCTGGTTAATTTTAGATTGCAAATTTCCCAAAGTGTCACTAGGCTGAAAAACCACTGACTCCTTTGAATCATTAAAATACTAAAACCTATGGAAGAATAAATATTCCATTTGGATTAAAACCTGGACGGAGGGGCATGCTCTCCTGGGTGACATTACCTTCTCTTTTCTCCTAGTGTTACGCACCTTCCTCCTTTAACTGACAACCCAGTTCTCAGCCTGCCTGTGCCAGTGAACAGACAGAGAGGAGAAAGGCACAGCAACCGTCTGCATGGCTGAGGTGATTGCAAATTAATGTTACAACCATAGGACAAGACAAAGAGAGCAAGCAGATTCTTCCCACATTAACTGGATTTTTGAAATGCCTATATTGTAGCCACCAGCTATACCCACCATAACCACAGGGATTGTCTCCTTGTTCTATTCCTATGCTTTCTCCTTCCTCTAGCTTGAAAAATCAAATCATAATTGCAGCCCCCTTTTGCTTAAATCTGCCTACTTCTCTACACCAAGGTTCAACAATATTTTTCTGTAAAAGGCCAAATGAGAAATATTTGAGACTTTCTGAGCCGGACAGTCTCTGAAGCAACTATTGAACTCCACTACTTTAGCCCACAGCCATCACATGTAATATAAATGCATGAGCATGGCTGTGTCTAATATTTGCGAAAGAGGCAATAAGATTTGGCCTGAGGATCACGGCTTGCCTACTCTTCTTTCAGAATGCCTTAGAAAACATGGATTATGATCTTGTTGATTCAGCCTCACAGGCAGCTCACAGTAAACACTTACAAACCCTTGTTTCGATAAACCAGAAGAATAAAATAGTTCAATACTCCTTCAGTTTCTCAGAGCATACTCTTGTCATTGAGATTTCCCATGTGTTTTACATAGCGGTGTGCTGTGTGTCCTAAATGTGGGGACACATACTAATCTGCTTCACACTGCTTTGACTTTCTTTTTCTTTTTGACTTGATTAGAAGGTTTAAATTTTTTTTTTGGAGAGAGTCAATTGGGAAAGATAAGACTCAAAGCACAAAGCACACACCTAAAATTCTTCTCTCGATTTAAACTTCCTTACACTTTTTATGTATTAAATATTGGTGGGTACTTTCCTCCACTAGTTTGGAAACACCACATACAGGTCAGGGCCTTCTGGGGGTATGTTCATTATTATCACTCAGATTTATTATTTATTGTTCTCATTACTGAGACCTGGCAGAAGCAACTTACAGGAGAAAGGATTTGGCTCTCAGTTGAGAGGATGTTGTTAGCGGTAAGAGGGTAGAGAGAAGCGGGTGTGCCAATGGGCAGCACAATTTATTCACACTTTGATGGATTCCGAAGTCGAGAGCTCAGGCCAGAAGCAGAAGTGGATACACCTTGGAGGCCCACTCCAATGGCACACTTATGCTACTTAGACCATAGTCCTCAAGGTTCCACAATCTCTCAAAGCAGTACCACAAACTATAAACAAATGTCCAAATGCATGAGTCACAGCAGCTAAATAATGCTGAGGACATTCTTGCCCTGTGTCAACTATTATCACTTACATTTTACACCAGACTTCCATTGTAGTACACAAATGTGAAAGCTTAAATGGGAAGGAACACCTGCATAGACCATCACAAATTAGGTATCACAAGAAAAGAGACTTTGAACTCTACTTGGCAAATGTCAATGAAGTATTTAGAGGGCTTTGCAAGTGACATAAGGAATTACTTTCTATGAAAACATAAATTTTGTAATGAGTTGGATGTACTGAAAATCAAGAGACATTCTAGCAGCAGGAAAATCAAGTAGAAGATTCACACAGATAATACATAACCCCAAATAAGACTATATGCATGAAAATGGTGACCTGAGAGTGGATATGTAAAAGAGTTTTCAATGACATGAAGAGGATTAATTTCCCAGGAAGTGAAAGGAGACAGGGGGAACTTTGAATGGCTCCTTCTTTCATGCTTCCATGTAATAGCAGAGAAGAAATAATCAGAGCATGAAAAGGAGAAACAGAATAATCAGGGAAATGATAACTTCATTGAAGAGAGACTTGGTATGAGATAATATTAACAGACAAGAGGAAGCAAAGGACAAGACGACAGCTAATGTCTCAATGTGTACACACCTACTGAGGCTTTCAAAGCTAAAGAAGGAGCTGTTATTGAAAAGTGAATGAATGAGTTCACATGGCAAAGGGCAGAAAAAATAGAGAAGTCTGTGTGTGTGTGTGTGTGTGTGTGTGTGTGTGTGTGTGTGTGTGTGTG